AGGAAACTCAGATAACATTGTATACATCAAATAAGACAAAGAAATTATTTGGTTTAATCACTTATAAGCACATAATTATTATAATTACAATTTTCCAAGGTACAGAGCAGTTACACTTAAACTATTGGATATGGTGGCTCCCTTATGGAACTTTGTTATTTTCAAAATTTACTGGTTGTGGGGGTGGGGGAGAGTTGTGTCACCATTAAGTTGATTAACACTTTCTTTTCTGAAACTGACAAAATTACAGACTGAAAAATGTTGGTCTTCATCTTCAAATTTTTCATCTTAATGAATATATTTCCTATATTGAAACTCGACAATACCAAAAATGGAAGCTTGACAATTCAGTAGTTTTAATAATCTCTGGTTTAACAACGTCTCTAGTGTGACATAGATGCATAAATGATGATACTGATGGTGGTGGTGTTGGTAGTTTACCCATTGGATCACAGCAGTATATCAGCCACTTTGAATTCACCAGAGCAGTGTCAGTTCTGCCACTGCATTGTTTCTGGGTATGCTGTCAAGCAGTTTACCAGTAGTAGAACCTTCATCTTTCCAAGGAACTGTTAACTTCTGTACATATCAGAGAAAAAGTACAGCCTGAATGATCTTAGAAAGGATTTCATGATCAGACAAACTGAAAACAAGAGACCTGCTTTGCCTTTGAAAGTAACCAGGGTTGCTGATTCTCAGTCCAATGCTCTTGCTATTGAGGCAACAAGACCATGTTGCTGTTGACATTTTGCAATGCATACTGATGCTAAAGATACAGTCTGTTGTATCCGAAGTGCTCTTACCTTAAAATTGAGATTTGTCAGCAATGGGATGATCACATCTTTAATTCTATACATTTTGAACCTTATTGTCCTTAATTGTATCAAAAATCACCCATCATTTCAACAGAAAATTCTTAAGGTCATCTGGTCACAAAATATTGTGCATTTGGGTAAGGAGAAGGGAGGGAACTTTGCTTTAAGTTTTTAAAGATCACTTGCTTTGGGCCACCTATTTGTTGTACAAAGGTTACCACCATTATTATCAGGTCTTTTCTACTCTTCTGCTTATCTTGGAAACCTGTTTTGTGATTTTTAGAGATTTTTGACTGATTTTGGCGAAACTGTTGAGCAACTTATATAAAGTTTCCGAAGCTGATAAAACTTTTGTAAGTTTGACAAGACATATACAAGTCAAGGCTTCAGTTTAGATTGTTCCCCCTATTTGTTCCTTATGGGATCCATTGTCAAAAATATATATTTAAATGTTGAACAATGTTGAACAAAACAACAATTATGTAACTTTACATACAAGAAAATCTCGAGGATTTATAAATCCTTGGCCAGAAATGCCAGGATGTGTGTGGATTGTCTGTAAACATAAATCTAAAAAAGAGCTTCTTGTATATTTATATGTTCTTGTGTTGTAGTAAATACTGTCAGGTTCTCTCTATTTTACTGTAGGCTGGTTTTTTTACAGCTGCCAATTCTAACAGTAAAAGCAATTTGCTAATTGCACTCAAAACAGTCTCCGGTTACCTTTGATCAAGGTCCCAGTTCCATGCTTTTCTAGATCTAGAGCATATTTCCCAAGATCGTAAAAATTATTGTGTGGAATTTTATGGTTTTGTACCAAGGGTTGAAGGAATTGATTTTATCAGTATAAGCAGATGAAGTAAAGGCGATAGTTGTGTAATGCCACTGTTTACATTTTCATGTGTTACGTTATAATTATGGGTTAGGTAAGAAAAAAAATGTAGGCGAGGGGAGAGGTGATAAAAGTTATATCAATGCACTGTATGACCTTTTTTGCCACTTTCCATATTCCTAACAGAATTGTGTTTCTTGATACTTTTTTATATATGGCAAAAAATGCAATGGAATATCTCACATACCCTTCTACAGCAAATAAAAACCTTGCACTAATATCTACAGATTTAAAATTTTGTAATTTCTGTCCGTTTTGGACCCCACATGTACTTTGGCTACAACATATAAAAGAGGGGAATAATAATATCGGTATATACATTGAAGGTGAGTGCATTTGAAAATAAATTCTTTCTTGCGGATTTTTGGTCAAAATCACTGTCTGGATAAAGATTTTTTATTCAAATGCTCTCTTCCCCTAATATATCTGTTGAAAGAAAATACCCAATTATTCTTGTGTGTTTTTTGGTGTGTGTGTTTTTTCCAACCAATTCACAAATGTGTATATAAATGCGCTTATCTAAGCCAGAAGGATGTAACAAATTACATAAAAAAATGTTGCCAGTCTTTACTATGCCTTTGATGTTCAGGAAAGCCTTGAGTGTTCTTTTTCCGTTGTATTTCCCTTGTGCGCCCCATGTCAGTCGAGATTGCTGTTTATTAATGTCTCAACCCATTGGCACACCCCATTATTTAATGACAGGTAGGTCAGAAATGGCAGGTGTCATGTTGGAATGTACTACTTTACACAGTTTGTAGGGGTGTCAGGATTTTTGTTTCCTTTCATGATATATTGTAGATTTTTCTACGTTTTTAAAAGCTAACTTATAAGATGTGTTTATTTTAATTGATTTAATAGTTTTTCTGACAGTGTCGTTTCTTTATTATTTAATGAAATTTAAACTTTAAATGAGTACCTGTATACAATAAACAAGTTAGAAAATTTATCGGTCCACCGATACACACATTTCTGCATGGTTAAGTCATAAAGGTGTCTATGTTTACAAAGAGCTATGTCAGATTTGAAAATGTGATAGCTGAGTGTTGGTTGTATTTCTATTCAACAATAGTGACATGTTTGTATATTAGCATACCAGAAGTGTCAAACAATTATAAAAATATATTGATTTTTACTGATAGTTTAAAATAGACTTTATCAGAAAATACGATCACATTTGAGTTTGGGGGGTTAAATATATAGCAAAATAAACTGAAATAATGCATTTTATGTTTAGTTTTTGAAAATACAGGTGCTTGGAATAGGACGTCAGTTAATATATTTTTTGGAGTTAACTGAATTTTTATGCCCCCACAATGTGGGAGCATATAGCGTTGCACTTGTCCGTCCGTCCGTCCGTCAGTCCGTCAGTCATTCCGTCCGTCCGTCAGTCCGTCCGTACGTCCCGAAATCTTGTGAACGCAACTCCTCTTAAACCGGATGGCAGATTTTGCTTAAATTTACAGGGATGAACAACCTTAATGTGTAGATGGTAGTAAAGGAAGGAATTTTCGCTGCGACCAAATTTAACAGAATTATGGCCCTTTGTTGATTTTTTCACTAGATACTATGTAGAAATTTTGTGAACGCAACTCCTCTTAAACCGGATGGCAGATTTTGCTTAAACTTACAGGGATGAACAACCTTAATGTGTAGATGGTAGTAAAGGAAGGAATTTTTGCTGCGACCAAATTTAACAGAATTATGGCCCTTTGTTGTTTTTTGCACTATATACTATGTAGAAATTTTGTGAAAGCAACTCCTCTTAAACCGGATGGCAGATTTTGCTTAAACTTACAGGGATGAACAACCTTTAGGTGTAGATGGCAGTAAAGGAAGGAATTTTTGCTGCGACCAAATTTTACAGAATTATGGCCCTTTGTTGATTTTTTCACTATATACTATGTAGAAATTTTGTGAATGCAACTCCTCTTAAACCGGATGGCAGATTTTGCTTAAACTTCCAGGGATGAACAAGCTTAATGTGTAGATGGTAGTAAAGAAAGGAATTTTTGCTGCAACCAAATTTAACAGAATTATGGCCCTTTTTTGATTTTTTCATTATATACTATGTAGAAATTTTGTGAACACAACTCCTCTTAAACCGGATGGCAGATTTTGCTTAAACTTCCAGGGATGAACAACCTTAATGTGTAGATGGTAGTAAAGAATGGAATTTTTGCTGCGACCAAATTTAACAGAATTATGGCCCTTTGTTGATTTTTAGTTTTCAACTTGTGGCACATGTAGTCCAAAAAATATTTGACCTAGAGTCATAAGATTGACAGAACAGTGGCGTGTGGGGGCATCCGTGTCCTATGGACACATTTCTAGTTAAGTTTGAAGTCATTGCCAAGTTATTTAATTCAATAGAGATTGGGAGCTTTTAATTTCTACCAAAAACATAACAGGAAATATTTTCTACAAAAAAAAAATAGGGAAATAGTGAGTTTGTGTAATGTCACACATAAGTGGAGAAAATAAAGTGAAACAATGTGAACTGGTGAAAAAAAGTTTAACAATGTAGTGCATACGGGCACGGTGACTAAACATTTTCAAATCGAGTGGAGTTTTCCTGTATAAAAGTTATATTGATTTTCGTGGTTTAGTCATTATTTTTTATGTGAGGTGAAAAGGGTGTGAAAAATATTGCAATGACTGGCAGTTAAACAGTGTTTGTGAATGGATTTACTCAAATTGTTCAGTCAGCTGTGATATACTCTTTATGTGTATGTGTAGAAAAAATCACTCAGCAGTGATTGAATTGTTGTCAGGTGATTAACTCAAATATTGTTGAGTAAAAACCTGGAAAAGACATCCAGATACTGTGTATATTAACTAGAAAAAAAATTGTGGTGTGTTATTCATTGTTGGAGAATTGAGAGAAAAAATTGTTATTAAAATTTGTGTTTCATTCTGAAGGATTTTATTTATTTTCACAATTTTTGTTTAATACTTTGTGATAATTTAAATGCAGTAAGTTTTTGATTTGTAACATGTTTTTGATTTGTAACTAAAGTTTTCAGAATATTTTGTAATATAAATGTTTAAAATAATAATTGGATAATTATAAAAGATTTTAGTTTAATGGATTTTAAACAAATTGATATACCAGTATGCTCTTTTTATTTTTGTAAACTTTGTACATGTTAGCCATTCGGCTTATATCTGAAGTATAATGGTATGATCAGTGTAAACTTTTATTTCTTCTTTCTCAATAAAACTGTGTTCACTTCAAATATTCAATTATTTAGTTAAATTAAATTATGATGAATTTTTGTCTTGTATATTTTCAGAGCCTTTGAGCATACATAAAGATCTTTAAACATGAGTTCTTACAATATAAATCAACCAGCCTCAACCAGGGCCAGTAAGTATATCTCTTCATCTTTCCCTGTTATTGAACTGAAGACATTGAGACTAAAAATTATGTTGCTATAGGGACAAATTTTGATTCTGAAAGCGGCATGTGTCCAAACAAGCCAAAAATGTTTTTTAAGAAAATCAGCATTGAGAAAAAATGTACTAACATTTTGTAGAAATTCAAGAAATTTTCACTTTTAAAGATAAGTTACATGTTAAATGCAATTGCAGTATTTAATAGTAATACTAGATGCTAACACATTAAGGGCTATTTGTGCTTATTCTGATTTATAATGTTTATTTCGTAATATTAAGCGCCATTTGCAATGTGTAATTTGTAAATAACTTGCTTTGAAATACAGTTTTTTCATACATAAAAATTACATTTCAAAACATTTCATATACATTAGCAAGTATCTGGGGTTTGATGCTTGTGTAAAGCTATATATCTAATGAAAACTTTCTACAAAATTTAAACAGTACACAGTTGAACTACCTCATTTCCATAAACAATTGTTAAAAGAGTTATATCATGGAATGTTTGTCATAATCGGCATTTTTATCATAATTAGCACACATATTATACACTGTACGTAAATCCGGAGCAATATATTTTATGCAACTACTTAAAATAACTGATTAAGTAGGTTTTGAAATTTGTTAATGCGCCACTGGCTCATTCATAAGAATACAGATCAACATATTTCTTTCATACATTTATTTTGATATTATTCTTTTTCAAATTTGAAAGAAAATGATCTGTAAAAACTGCAGGCAGTGGATCTATAGTTTTATACACTTGAAATGAGGCAAATTTCATTTTAATATAAACGCTGTCCCAATTTATGAATATTTAATTGCCTGCTGTACTTTTGTTCTGAGCTTCTTTAAAATCATGAGAATAATGCTTCAGAGTGCACCAAGTATGTCATTTAGCCAGAAAAATGATATATGAGTGGAAAGAGTCAATGGTCAACACAGCCATAACCATCTTAGCACAGTCAACTTGGCCAATAATTGAGATAAAGCTACAACAAAAGATCTTGTTTGTTGTTTAGTTTTGTGACAATGAAGAGATTTATTTTAATCCTACAGAAAATATTTGTTCAGTTTTATCTGCTATGCCATGGAACAAGCTTTATCAAGGCTGAGCTGAACCTTTTTCATATGATTTAATTAAACACACTTTTGCATAACTGGGGAAAAAAGCAAAACAGAAAACTTTACTTTCACAACTATTTTAGTCCAGTAGTTCTATCACACCATTGACAAAAAGCTATGGTTATTAAATGATGTGTATTGATTTTACAAAACAAACAACAAGACTGATGTAGTTGTCAACAATATAATAAAGTGACATTTTGTTTTGACAGTGGGTCCTGGTGGTAACATGATGGATCTAGGGGATATGCCGATGGACAACAAACAACAACAGACACTGATGTGGCAACAGAACCAATACATGGGAGATTCAGGAATCCACTCAGGCGCTACCACACAGGTATGAATCTCAAAATATTAACATAGGTCATGGAAAAGACTATAAAACATTGTTAAATAGTGAAAATATTTATATTTTTTTATTTAAGCTAGTATTCCAAAGAAGATTTAGGCTTTACCCTACAAAATAAGTATATAGGCTTAATTGTGAATGAGATAATGACCGTTTCGGTTACTTCATTGCAAGATTGGAAAGATGTTTAAATCATCATTTAAATCACAAAGTCCTGTTCTATGTTGAAAGCTCAAAATCATTTTCATTCCATCCAAGACTATAAAAACATATGGTAGCCTAGTGAAAAAAATTAACCCTCAAGATATTTGAACTTGGAAGTATGTGTTTATTAAATGAAAACAACTTTTTAGATTGTTTGACAAAGAACTAAAAACATTTTATTTGCCAAAATGTTCATAAGTATGATTTGTTTTGTGTTCTGTTTCCAGGCTCCATCTCTCAGTGGCAAGAGCCATGTGGACGATATGGAGGAACCAGACCAGAATATGGACACATCAAGAATGATGTTCAACTGGGGCGAGCAGGGAATGGGTCCCGGCTTCACACAGGAACAAGTTGATGGTAAGCATATCATATTATATTATAAGGCAGCATATCAGAAAATATGAAAGACTAGAAATTTCACTGTATTTAACCATTTTATTATCATGATTATAATTATCTTAATTATGGGATTGATTTTAGATAAGGCACAAGTAGAAATGAATTTAAAAACATTTTATTTCATGAAATAAAGACTGGAAAGGAATAAATGTATTGGAATAGAATTTTGTTGTGGTAAATTACTTAGTCCAAAACCATCTTGCTTACAAATATAATGTTTTAATACTTAAAACGTATATTTCTTTCTCAGATATGAACCAACAGTTAAACCAGACACGATCTCATCGTGTACGGGAGGCCATGTTTCCCGAGACATTGGAGGAAGGCCTTCAAATCCCATCCACACAGATCCATCCTGACCAGCCAACCGCGGTACAGCGTCTGGCTGAGCCTTCACAGATGCTGAAACATGCAGTGGTTAACCTTATCAATTATCAGGTAAAGAATTAAAAAGTTTAAGAAATTTCATTGTGCATTTTATAAATGGCATTAATATTAAATTGTATCAAATGAATTCCATAACTGCACAAATTTCTAAATTCTTTAAAATAATGGTTTTTTCCTGCCTATGAACAGTTCTGTGTGTAATGCTTTTTGAATTGTATTTAATATTATAAAGTAAAAATATAAACATGTTACAATAAGAGACAATTGTTTCATAATAAATTATTTGAGGCTTAAGTAATTAAAAATGGCATTTAGTAATTAAAAAACAACCTGAAAAAACATCTGACATTGGTCTGTAGTAAAATTGCTTGGTTATCTTTATACAGGATGATGCAGATCTTGCCACACGTGCCATCCCCGAGCTGACCAAGCTGTTGTGCGACGATGATCAAGTTGTTGTCAGCCAAGCAGCCATGATGGTTCATCAACTGTCAAAGAAGGAGGCGAGTCGAGCCGCCATAATGAACTCGCCACAGATGGTGGCGGCACTGGTACGAGCCATGAGTAACACTAACGATACGGAGACAACAAGATGTGCAGCCGGAACTTTACATAACCTGTCACATCACAGACAAGGTTTACTGGCCATCTTTAAATCTGGTGGCATACCAGCACTCGTGAAACTTCTTAGGTACGTTTATTTGTCAGTTATTGTATTGTGTTATTTAGATAGGCCTTTCACCTGAAGTATTGTACATTTTCTAAACATTCAAAAGCGATTATTTAAATTCTAATATTTATTCTTCTTAATTTTTTGTATCAAGAAAAAAAGTGCATAAATTAGTGTCAGACATTGGATGTTAAAAGTTATTTTATGTTTTATTATGCTACAATTAATGATTTAAAATAGAAAAATATATGTAATATCAGTATAAACGTGGTATTAATAAGTTTAAACATAGTTACATACTTATTTAAGCTTGATTGTGAAGCAATTCATATGAATTTTGGACAGAACAAAATTTATTTACTAAAACAAATGATAATGAAAAAGTAAAACAAACAACAAACAAAGCATAAGTTTTAAGGTTTATTTAATGATGTTAACCGACATTATAATTGTGTATGTATTTTTGTATTACAGTTCACCAATGGAATCTGTGCTATTCTACGCAATCACTACTTTACACAATCTTCTGCTGCACCAAGATGGATCTAAGATGGCAGTCCGTCTCGCTGGAGGCTTGCAGAAGATGGTTGCCCTTTTACAGAGGAATAATGTTAAATTCCTTGCTATTACAACTGACTGTCTCCAAATTCTTGCTTACGGAAACCAAGAAAGCAAGGTGTGTGATAATTAGAAAAATAATTTTTGTTGGTTTACTTTATGGTTTAGTTAATATAATGCCGGAATGCTCGCTGTACATTTATATATTCTAAATCAGAAAGAATTTCTAAGGGTTTTTACTTGCATTAATTAACTTGCATAATACAATGAAAATATTTCGGAGTATAAAGTGCTACATATGAATTTGATATAACCAAAATGCTGAAATAAGAATTAAGTATTTTGACAGAGTTACTAAATAAATTAATAAGAATAATGAAAATCTTGCCCATATAATCCAGTGGTTGTCAAAAATTTGTTTTATGATTGTACTTGTATGTTATTTGAAATTTAATGAAAAGATACTGTTAATTAACTTATGAAAAATCAAATTTTGATGGAATGATCTAATATCCTTTGCAAATTTTTTTTATAGGAACTCATTATTGTATACACGCTATGATTTAATACCAATTAATGTCTTCTCTTTCCAGTTGATAATTCTGGCTAGCGGAGGACCTGGTGAACTTGTTCGTCTCATGCGATCATACACGTACGAGAAACTTCTGTGGACCACATCTCGTGTTCTAAAGGTCCTCTCTGTGTGTGCCAGCAACAAACCTGCAGTTGTAGAAGCAGGTATGTAGCAATACTATATGAGCCGCGTCATGACAAAACCAACAAAATGGGTTTGCAACCAGCATGGATTCTGACCAGCCTGCGCATCCGTACAGTCTGACCAAGATCCATGCTGTTCGCTTACCAACCCTATTACAAGTAGAGAAACTGATAGCGAACAGCATGGATCCTGCCTGATCAGACTGCGAGGATGCGCAGGCTGGTCTGGATCCATGCTGGTCACAAACGCACTATGTTGGTTTTGTCGTAACGCGGCTCATATCTGAATTAAATTAAGCTCAATGTGTAAAATAGGCAGCAATTTTGGTCAACAGATTTATTATCGAATATGTAAGTTTTGTTTTATTGTATGGATTTACAAGTGTTGGTCCTGCCATTACATTGTTGATATTGCACTTTTTTTCATTATCCCTCATGTACAGACTCGATCAATCAGAGTCTGTAATTTTCATTTTATCTTGCTATGGTTAATACTTTCGAGGATCTTCTCCAGATTTTTAAAAAAAATTTGAAATTTTCCTTAAAAAAGTGATGAATGGTGTGTTCCAGATTTGATAAGTGGACTATACGTCCCATCATAAATAGCTCATGCCTCTTTTCATGGAGACTGTTTTTTTAACCTGATGGATTTTACTATTAACTAGGTGGTATGCAGGCATTGGCCAATCACCTTGGTCATGGAAGCCAGAGACTTGTACAGAATTGTCTGTGGACACTGAGAAACTTGTCAGATGCTGCAACCAAATGTGTAAGTATCCATTTGATTTTATCTCGCCTGTAATTTACCAGCATATAAATTAAATGTTATAATAAAAACTTGATGCTATCGGGCTATTGATATAACTGTTTGAAGCGAAAATGATTGTTGGAAGTTCATTTCATTTTCCTTTTTCTTGATTTTGTTGTGTGAACATTTTAAAATCATAAAATGAATAGGGTTAACTGTGAATTTTCTGAAATGCAAAGTTTGTGTTAATTTCTGTTTGCTCATCTATACTATTTTTCACATGTAATGCATTGTATATGCCAGTTATTTAATTTCATTCATTGTAATGTATTAAAGAAGATTTACATTTTGAAATAACTCGGTAATAAATGTTTCTTTTCCCCATTACAGGACACATTAGATGGCCTTCTACAGATGTTAGTTCAACTGTTGTCATCTAATGACATTAACGTGGTCACCTGTGCTGCAGGTATTTTGTCTAACTTGACATGTAACAATATTCGTAACAAGATGATCGTGTGCCAGGTGGGAGGTATCGAGGCCCTTGTCAGGACTATTCTACAAGCCGGGGACCGAGAAGACATCACGGAACCAGCTGTAAGTCTCTTTTCCTTGAAATTTTCACTCTATTTTTTTGAAACTTTATTGTAATATTCATTTGTAATGTAATGCTTTATTTATCAATTTTCTTTTTCTTTGAAGTGAGGCTTCTTTTTCTTAAATTTCAGCATAAGTTATTTCATTCTTTGGGCATATTGTTACACATAATTAGCAATTTTGCATTAATCTTTTTGGTACTGGTTCTTTTGATAGATGAATATTACTGTTTCTTAAAATTTATACATGTATATTGAACGATTATTTTTACTCTGGTTTCAGGTGTGTGCATTGCGTCACTTGACAGCTCGACACCACGAGGCTGAGATGGCCCAGAATGCGGTCCGTCTTCATTACGGCCTCCCCGTCCTTGTGAAACTTCTCCACCCACCAAGCAGATGGCCACTCATCAAGGCTGTAGTTGGTCTTATTCGTAACCTTGCTCTTTGCCAGGCCAACCACGCCCCACTAAGAGAACATGGAGCTCTGCCGAGAATTGTACAGCTCATGATCCGAGCACACCAAGACACCCAAAGGGTGAGTTTATCCTTTATAAATTCTTTTCAATGAATCCATTATAGGCCTATTATGCTTTAGAAATCCGTATTTTTTATATTTTATAGAATTGTCCATCATGTGTATGATAATGTTGTAACAATGGATTAAGAGCATGTTTAATAACTAAATAAACTAGTGCTAAATGTGCAGTAATGTTAACATGTAAAGGTAGCAAAATGTAAACAAATTTGTTTTTTGACTTCCATACAAAATACTAATACACTATAATTATAAAAATTGCCAACAGAGCAAAAGAAGCTAAATATAATTCATGTGTATTGCAAATGAGCATTTATTTTGAAACTGTAACAAGATACCAAAAATAAAATGTTAAGAGAAAAAAAGATGCATAAATGAGGCACAGTGGGCCTTTAAGAATGCAAATGTCTTATTTGGCCATTATTACTAGATTAATGAATAGTCTATATTGATAATAGTGTATTTGAAGTGAAACAGTAAAATCTGCAGCACTTTAGAATGTTTAATACTTTTAAATGATACCTGCAGGCAAAATTTTATCGACAAAAAGCATTTACTGCAATTCACTCAATTGTGTACGTAATGAATGTGATACTAAAATGTTAAATGCCATCATCGAAGATGTGGTATTATGAGAAAGGCAATCAAAAAAGGTAGAAAATGACGAAGAAAATTGAAGATCTGTTTGAAAAAATAAGCTATGGTTAAAAACATTTTATTGGTATCTTATATAAGATATGCAAAAAAGTCAGGTGCAAATTCTCAGTGTCTATTTTAGGATTGAAAAAAGGGGGGATTTTTATTACAATTGTTGATCTTTTTTTTTCTTTCTCCATGTAAAACTTTCCTCCTGCCTTTGAAAAAAATAAGGTGGGAGATGAATTCTCAAAAACATGAATGAATCCCTCCATCCTCCCTCCTACAAAAAACACTGAATTCTTTTCCTACACAAAGATAGTTAATAAACATTTGTATGTTATGTTTTACAGAGGTCGTCAATCAGCTCTAACGGACAAGGAAGCGGGTACGTTGACGGTGTCAGAATGGAGGAGATCGTGGAGGGAACTGTAGGTGCCCTCCATATCCTCGCCCGTGAGGCTCACAACAGAGCAGTGATCCGAGGGCTTAACTGTATCCCACTTTTCGTACAAGTAAGAAACCTCAAGAGTTTTTTGTGTGTGTTTGTGTGTATATGTGTTTGAATGAAAGAGGGCCGCTTTTGATGATTACTTATGATATTTACAAAAATTGTGTCCTCGGGATGCTTCTTCTTCTCGTATAACATGTTATTGTTAGTTTTAATGAAAAAATGGTTTTCAGATCAAATTATGCTGATGTGATATTTAAAAAAAAGGGGGGAAAAATGATTCTTCCATAACAGCCTTAAATGTAAATAAATGCCCTTGTTATTATAAAATGCTTTCTATCAAGTAATTTACTCCTAAAAATGCACAAAAACAAAACTGAAAAAACTGGAAGAATATTCCTAGCAGCGTGATTTTTGATAATAAAATGTAGAGAAGAAATTGTAATTTTATTAATGCTTACAGCACTTGCTGAAGGGTATTCCACTTACACACGTTATTGTCTGGTTTTAAACATCATATGTATTAACTTATATTGAATGTAAATTGTATCAGCTAAAAATCTGCAAGGTCTATATCTTGGTAGGCTTAAAACTTGCGCAAGAAATTAAAAGAATGGCTACTATTTTAATATATATTTGCTTAAAATAGTTTAATGGTACCTACTAATTTGGTTCTATTTTGTATTATGTGTTCTTCATTTTCACCTGTGCTGTACATTATCCTAGATAGCATAATAAATTATTCACACAATTGTATAAAAATGATTCAATACATAAAGTTATACAGGATTTCCTCTTAATGTTGAGATAGGGAAAATTTAATTAGTGTAGTTAATAGTGGTATTAAGATTTGTATACTGTTTTACTCTTGTGATGCTAGATGTTTGCTTATCATTCATAATTATGTTCACAAATTTGAAATCTTTCCATATTTTAAAACTAAATTTCTGTATTTTTCAGTTACTATACTCGCCAGTAGAGAATATCCAGCGTGTTGCCGCCGGTGTCCTGTGCGAGTTGGCCTCTGACAAGGAAGGTGCCGAGCTCATCGAGCAGGAAGGAGCCACCGCTCCTCTGACAGAACTTCTCCACTCCAGAAACGAAGGTGTGGCCACATACGCTGCGGCAGTTCTGTTCAGGATGTCCGAAGATAAACCCCAGGACTATAAGAAAAGATTGTCTGTAGAATTGACCAGTTCACTCTTCAGAGGTGACCAAAACATGGCATGGGCTGATGTAAGTCTTACACATATATGAAAGCAGAATGTCTTCAGACTCTGTGTTAATTTTTGTGTAAATTAATGTGTTTTACAAGTTTAATGATCATCATTAGATCAAAAAATCATCAAAGAAAGAATAAGGGGCTTACAATTTCTAAAACTTAAACTGAACCATATAGATCCAATTTCCTCGTTTCTTTTATGATTCCTATAGAAAATAGTATCAACTTAGAAAAGTAGAAGGTTTCAAGTATAAAAACCTAAAAATAATACATGGAACAGAATTATCACTTATGTTTTGTTATTGAAAAGAAGTTTCAATTTTATTTTTGTTTTTGATTACAGCCCCCAGGATTTGACGATGTTGGTGGTTTCGGACAAGACGAATATCGACCCAACGATCAGATGTACAACCCAGGTAGTCAACAAAACATGAGCGGGTCTCAGCATGACATGAGTCGAGGTACGTAATGTAATTATTACCAATAGTCCATTAGTTCACACCATTATTTGAAGGAATGCTTGGGAATCGGGGCTCAAACCCCATCTGAGGTCAAGCAGTTATTTCCTTGGGCAAGAAATTTGAGTTCCGCTCAAGCTGGTGCTAGGGGCATGAGGGATGTTGCACATTTTCATCATCCCTTCTGTACAGACTCAGTTAAACCGAGTCAGCAATTTTCATGTAATTTTGTTGTGATTAATGCTTCTATGGGATCACTATCCAGGTTTTTAGCTCACCTGTCACAAAGTGACAGGGTGAGCTTTTGTGATCGCTTTTCGTCCGGCGTCCGTCCGTCGTCCGTCCGTAAACTTTTGCTTTAAATGACATCTCCTCATAAACCACTGAGCCAATTTCATCCAAACTTCACAGGAATGTTCCTTTGGTGGTCACCTTTAAAAATTGTTCAAAGAATTTAATTCCATGCAGAACTCTGGTTGCCATGGCAACCGAAAGAAAAATCTTTAAATATCTTCTTTTAAACAACCCTAAGAGCTAGAGCTTAGATATTTGGCATGAAACATCTTCTAATGAGTGTCTACCAAGTTTGTTCAAATAAAAGCCCTGGGGTCAAAATTGGCCCCGCCCCCGGGGGGTCATTGATTTTCCCTATATGCATATAGTAAAAACTTAAAAGATCTTCTTTTAAAGAACCGTAAGAGCTAGAGCTTAGATATTTGGCATAAAACATCTTCTAGTAAATGTCTACCAAGTTTGTTCAAATAAAAGCCCTGGGGTCAAAATTGGCCCCGCCCCAGGGGGTCATTGATTTTCCCTATATGCATATAGTAAAAACTTAAAAAATCTTCTTTTAAAGAACTGTAAGAGCTAAAGCTTATATATTTGGCATGAAACATCTTCTAGTGAATGTCTACCAAGTTTGTTCAAATAAAACCCCTGGGGTCCAAATTGGCCCCTCCCCAGGGGTCATTGATTTTCCTTATATGCATATAGTAAAAAACTTATAAAATCTTCTTTTAAAGAACCCAAAGAGCTAGAGCTAAGATATTTAGCATGAGACATGTTCTAATGGGTGTCTACCAAGTATGTTCAAATAAAAGCCCTGGGGTCAAAACTGGCCCCGCCCCGGGGGTCATTGATTTTCCTTATATACATAGCAAAAACTTAAAAATCTTCTTTGAAAAAACCCAAATAACTAGAGTTTAGATATTAAGCATGAAACATCTTTAAGTAAATATCTACAAAGTTTGTTCAAATAAAAGCCCAGGGGTCAAAACTGGCCCTGCCCGAGGGGTGTCATTGTTTTTTTACTCTATGTGTATAGTAAAAAACTTAAAAAATCTTCTTTTAAAAAACCCAATGAGCTAGAACTTAGATGTTTTGCATGAAACATCTTCTTATGGGTGTCTACCAAGTCTGTTCAAATAAACAAATAAAAGCCCTTGCGGTAAAAAATTGGGCCGGGGGGGGGGGGGGGTATATACAGGGCGTGAGCGACCTCAGGGCCATCATGGCCCTCTTGTTATATAAATTGTGCATAATCTTAATATCATTTACAGTTTAATATATATAGCAAGAATACTTTAGAATTTAGTAATTGTTGGTATTACTGGTTATTATGTCAATTTTTTCAAGAAATATATAGTTAATATTTACATGCCAATTCAGAATAATAGATGGATTGTCTTGATAATTTTAGAAAATCTATGGTATGACATCTGTATTAAAATGAAAATGACACTGTACTTTATTGTAGGTTGATATTTTTATACAGTTGTACTGAGTATATAAAATGTTAATTTGAGTAATTATCCCCCGCCGAAAATTTTCGGCGGAGGATATAGTAATAGTCTCCGTCCGTCCGTCCTTCCGTCCGTCCGTCCTTCCGTCCGAAATTTTTGTCCGGAGCATATCTCTAAAAGTATTTGAGTTATCAACTTGAAACTTCATAGGTGGATAGACCTCATTGAGGAGGAGTGCAGTGCACAAAAATGATAACTCTACCTTGCATGATTTTTGAGTTATTGCCCTTTGTTATTTTTCAAAATTGATTTTTGTCCAGAGCATAACTCCAAAAGCCTATGAGATATTAACATGAAACTTCATAGGTGCATAGATCTCACTTCAGGAGGTGTGCAGTGCACAAGAATGATAACTCTTCTTTCATAATTTTTGAGTTATTGCCCTTTGTTTTTTTTCATACCTAATTTTTCACCTGAGTGGAGCATAACTCAAAAAAGTGTTTGAGATATCAACATGAAATGTCATAAAAGGATAGATCTTATTGAGGAGAAATGTATTGCGCAAGAATGATAACTCTTCCCTATACAATTTTTTTAGTTATTGCCCTTTGTTTGTTTTTTTCATGCTATTTTGTCCAGGAGCTTATCTGAAAAAGTATTTGAGGTATCATCTTGAAACTTCAATAGGTGGATGGATCTCATTGAGGAGGAGTGCAGTGCTAAAGAATGATAACTCTGCCCTGCATTATTTTTGAGTTATTGCCCTTTGTTATTTTTCAAAATTAATTTTTGTCCAGAGCATAACTCAAAAAGCCTTTTGAGATATCAAAATGAAACTTCATAGGTGCATAGATCTCACTCAGGAGGTGTGCACTGCACAAGAATGATAACTGTACCTTTTATAATTTTGAGTTATTGCCCTTTGTTATTTTTCAACTTAATTTTTCAATTCAATTTTTTTTCTCTCAAAAGTATTTGAGGTATTCAACTTGAAACTTCATAGGTGGATAGATTTTTACTGAGGAGGGATGCAGCACAAAGGATGATAACCTACCCTGCATTATTTTTCAGTTATTGCCCTTTGTTATTTTCAGCCATCAGTATTCACATAGGTTTCAAATCTGTAATCACTATAGCCATCAGTTTTCATTACCAAAAGACCTCTTAAAATGGAATTATTCTGCTCTACTACATATACATTCTTCCAATGAGCAAACACATTCGGCGGGGGATGGCCATGTTGACATGGCTCTTGTTTTCATTGGTACTAGGATTTTAAAGATTATGCTTTTTGGATTGATAATTGCATTTGCTGTTTTCAATATTTGTGTTCCAATATTTTGTTTGAGATATTCATGTTTAACACTGTTTTAGATATTTATGTTAACATTTCTTCTTTCAGGTTATGACAGTCAGTTGCCAATAGATTCAATGCAGGGTTTAGATTTAGGCAGCCAGGGTAGCAACCAGTATGGCCCTATGGATAACCTTGACATTGGACCCCATGGTGATCTCAGTTTCGGAAACATGGACAACAGTGGTATGCCCCCACAAGGTCAGGGAGATAACCCTGGCGGGCTTCCCCAAACCTGGTTTGATACCGATTTGTAAGGGGAGATAAATTGTGACCATTATCAGTGATCTATATTCTAACGACTTTAATCAGCATGGGAATGAAAACAGTAAGAGGGAGACAATTTAACCAGTGAACTCGTGTGGATATTAAAGGGCGGTCTACAGAAAAACACCAAATATCTTCAAAAGATCTGTAAGACATCAGTGACTGAATGAACTGTACAAAATGCTTGGATCTTTTTAAACATATGTGTAAAGATTTTTCTTTTTAACTTTTAAAATTTTTAGAACATAATTTAGATTTCTTTGTGTTTTGTACTATATATGATGCAGTCAAGATAGGATAGATCTTTGAAAGAAAGGGAGACAATAGGAGTAAATAAAAACAACTACATAATCAGATATGATTATGTCCTCATTGACAAAATATCGCACATCTTTTGGTGGTACAATAACACGCACTGCCTTTATATGGATTACTGTTAAATCTTTTCTTTTGATAGCCTAAAATTCAATTTTCATGAATGAATTTACTGAATTGTTCAGCAGAATTGATGTCAAAATATTTAAGAATTTAAAAATTTCACTCATGTAACATAATGAAAATCAACAAAAAAGGAATTGTGGAGTAAAATTATTTCGGTTAAAGATTGAAAAATTGTAACAACATTCTGTGGTTTTAAAAACTATTGAATATTAGATCATTAAAAATACAGGGAAACTTCAGGACTTTTTTCGTTACTATTCAATAGGCTAATCAATGCATTTAAACTTTAATTCTTTTTTTTTTGTACATAAGATTTGTTGTCTGATGGAAATTTGTATACTGGGAGCAATGTATATCGCAATTATACAAAATTATATAATCCTCCCTATTCATCATTGCAAAAGTGGCAAAAATGGATACATAAAAAATTGTGAATGTCATTTTAAGTCAGATCCTTGTGAAAATAATCTAGGTCCAGATGTGTATTTTAGCCATTATAGACAATTTATGATTTTTTTCATATGTATATGCACTAGTTTTAACGTGCAAGGTATTGGTATTAATAGTTTTGTATTTTGAAGATATGAACATATTTTTCAATCAAACGTTTATTTCAATCAAGAGGACTTGCTCGATTAACATAATTTTTTTGTGTGTGAAAACAGACATATTTTTATGCCACCGCAGCATCTGCGATGCGGTGGCATATAGCGATTCACCTGTGTGTGTGTTTGTTTGTGTGTGTGTGTGTTATATAATAGGTTATTAGGAACTTCAAATTTCTTGTGGAGAAAACCACTATGTCCAATTTCCAACACCCAAAGCTTGGCAGGATTGATCCTTGGGTGAAGAGGCTTCCAACAGTTGTTCAACACAGAATCAATTCATGCAGAATCTGGCTTGCCATGGCAACCAAAAGGAATGATAAGAATAAAATTTAAAGAAATTCTGTTGTAAAGACCAAATAGCCTAGAGCTGTAGATATTTGCCATAACGCATTGTCTTGGTAAACTCCTACCAAGATGTTCAAGGATTTAGCCCTGGGGTCAAAATGTCCCACTGCCCCGGGGGTCATTGATTTTCACTATAGTAACAGTATAGTAAGAGAACTTGAAAATACTCATGTAAATCCAAAGCCTAGAGCTTAGATATCTGCATAAAAGGCATTGTCTGGTAGACCCTTATTAGATTGTTCAGAATGAGCCTGTGGGTCAAACCATTGCCCCAGCCCGTGGGTCCTTGGTTTTCCATCTATGTATATAGTAATAAAACTTATAGTAAAAATTTAAAAAAATTTCTCGCAATTGACAAATGCTAGAGGTATATATTTGGCAATGAACTGTTAGTGATAATAGCTGACCTAGTTTTTGACAAAGTGTTAACGGTTTCCTTTGATTAGTCATGAATTTTGGGCTTGTAAATGACTTTCACCCCCAAATTCACCAGACTCAAGTGCTGATATTTCCCTACCTATCTTTTATTGGATTAAAACAATAGTTTTAACCCCACTAATCTGATAATAAAAATTAGATGGTCAGGATCTATGCATTTGAAAATCTTCAATTGTTGAACAAAACAAATTTTTCCCAAATTTTTGTGTTTTTATGCGGTTGGATAGCATTTTTCCAAATGTTTTGTTTTTTGTATGAATAAAGTAACTATTTATCAAAATTTTTTTTTTTAAAATTGTTTTTTTATTCATGCAGGAATGAAATTACTTTTGCATGCTCTTTCCCATTGGAGAGTGGAAGGTACTACATGTAGAGATTTTTTTTTATACAATGAAAGGAAATAATCTTTTTAAAAATTTTTTCACAAAAAAATTTTGGGGTTTTTTTTGGTCGGAGGAAAATTTTGACAAAAATCTTGCTATATTTTCCCAAAGGGAAAAATGTAAATCAAAGAAAACCCCATGTAATTTATTATAATTTGAAATTTTTATCAAAATTTCTTTTTTATCAACCAGAAAAAACTGTTTTTTTTTTGTCAAAATTTATATTTTTTTGACCCTCTTTTTTTTTTTAAAAAATTTGAAAAAAAACACAAACTTTTTTTTATAAATTTTGCTTTTAAATTTTTTATATATTTGTATTTAAAAATATTATTTCTGTATCATGTTTTTTTTTTTAACTGTTTCACCTCTGCGCCTTGTAGAAGTTTTTCAAACAGTTTAAAACAAAAACCAATCAGGTTATAAACGAAAAAAATTATACTTACCTTTTTTTTTAGCTTTTTCTTAAAAATCAGGAAAAATTAACATTTGTTTGGGAAAAAATTCAAAAATTTTTTCAATAAAAAAACCAAACCCTCGCAATTTGCACCATTTTTTTCTTGTAGTTTTTTGTTCCCCATGGTCTTTAAAGAATTTTTTATCCGGGCATTTTTTTCTCCTAGATTCCCCACACTACCCCCCCCCCATTTTAAATCCAGATTTATATCATTTTACATTCAGTGTATTATTGTACATAATTTTACTGTAGTAATAAACAAAAAGTAGACAAGTTTTTATCTTTTTAGTTCATTTTGGCTGCCGTATTTATGCTATGGAATTAGAGAATTGGGAAAACTAACAATTATTTTAATAACTACAGTCCTAATGTTTGCATGTTAAAAATTCTAAAAACCATTAACAGTAAAAATCATCTTGGCTAATATTGAAACTAAATCATTTCCATCAGTCGTATATTTGTGTTGAAAGCAAAGGTTGTACATGACATTTTATATAATATGTTTTTACTTTGTACAGTGCATGGAAATTTTACAAATTTTGTTTTTCACAATTTTTTTTCTCAGTTCTCTGCAAACTTTCTTACTTCATAATTTTTGTCATTTCTCCTCTTTTGGATAAATAATTTGAAAAAAATAGTGCATTCAAGAGTAGAAAACGTGCTATATCATATGATTTTATGTAAAACAAGTCTTTATTATTAAATGTGAATTAAAAATATCAAAAAATGATTTCATTCTCTTTGTTTTTCTATTTTACAAAAGTGCAAAGCACTCGTGAATCCGAATTTCGTCACCATAGATATTTAAAAGCATAGAAAATGTATTCTCTTTTAAGAAACTATTAAGGATTGAGTCTTCATTAATATCATGTCATGTCAGTTCTTACAAAACGATTTTGGTGCTTTGAGAAAACTAGTTATTCCTGAATACCTTCATAATATTTTCTAAAAACTAGTTTCTAACAAAGTAAAATGTCAAAATGAATAGATGCTATAAGTAAAAAATACTTCTGAGTATTAGAACTTAAAAATATTTCACCTTCTGGCCAACTTTGACTAAATCAGAGGGCTTATATTCCCCTCAAAAAGTTAGCTTATTTGAGCAGGAAAACTACCCCTGGTTACACAGTTGTCTTTTTGTCCTTGCATGTTATTAAGGAAGATTTAGTTTTCTTCTGTATGAGCATGATATTTTATATTTTTAAAAGCCAGTTATATTTTTATAAATTCATGATTTGAGCCATGTCAAGACAAAACCAACATAATGGGTTTGCGACCAGCATGGATCCAGACCAGCCTGCGCATCCACACAGTCTGATCAGGATCCATGCTGTTCGCTATCAATTTCTCTACTTGTTTAAAGTGTTTGTAAGCGAACAGCATGGATCTGATCAGACTGCGCGAAAAATGCGGCAGGCTGGTCTGGATCCATGCTGGTCGCAAACCCATTATGTTGGTTTTGTCGTGACGCGGCTCATTTTATAATCATTTCGTTTTAAGACCGGTATGTCTAGTCTTTATTTTTGTGTTTTATTGGTAACATTCAAGGACTTATGTTGAAAGTTTTTGTTTGCTGTACATTCATTCAGTGTATGACAATAAATTTTCTTAGTTAGCTAATCAGCAATTTTCTGTCCTTTATTTTTATATATGAACTGTTAGTCATAAATTTCTTCTGGAATAATAAAAAAGAAATGAATTTTGTACTTTGTCACTTTTAAATTAAAATACTGGCCGTCACGAATAGCCCCAATCCTTATATTGAATTCACCAAACCTAACGACCTTACCTTAGGTTAAGTTATTTTAGCAAAGCACTCTTAATTTCAACTGTTTGGAATTATAGAATACTAAATTTGATGACCTATAGTGCTCTGCCTGTCTGTCTCAAGCCATAATTTTGTGATAATGGGTTTTGAAATGTGTAGCGCTTTGAGACAATGTTTGGATGCAAGATTCAGCCTCAGGTTACTTTTAAACTTGTAAGGAATCTTTCATCAAGGTCAGCTCGTACGTCCGGAGTCGTGATATGAATTTTTCATAAAAATGCGTTGGTCAATCCACGATGGCTTAAAACATTTCGGATATAAGTGTTGCAGATGACTGTCACACTCGAGAAAGAGGTCTCAACTTCAAAGATCATGGTCACTTTTACGTCCATAACCATAATACATGTTTGACTGTGAATAGAAAGCAGTGTCCTGTCTTTCCATGACTTTGTCACTCATTGGTGGTCTTGAAATATTTCGCATAAATATTTGGTACATTGAGCTGATGAGTCTGGTGTGCAAAACAAAGATTTGTAGCCCAAAGGTCAAGAACATACTTAACATGAAATTGTCTAGAGGCATTATGTATGTTCACAACGACCAGCTCTTGTTACTAAGTTCAGTCTTGAACAAACAACAATATCAACGATGACCGATTTTGATAATTACATACATCACATTACTTGGTTCAAACCCCGACATACTTTATTAAGAGAAAGCTACATATATGGAAAATTAATATTTTACCTAAAAGCACCGTCCGGTTAGCTCTATTGGTAGTGCGCTGGACTGTGAATTGGGCGTTCCAGCTTCAATTCCTGGACGGTGCATGTCTTTTTCTACGGTCATTCGCACTGCCCCGCTGCTCTGGCTTGTTCAGTAGTTGTCAGTTCCTTGCAAAAAGGAAGGCAACTAGTACTGAAACGATGCGGTGGCTGAACTGTGCTCTGGTAAATCCAATTTGGCGTACTGCCGTGATCCGGGGTGAAAGCTACCACTACCAACATCAACTTAGACGACCGAATGACTCAAAACGCAGAGGGGACGCCTGAGATAGACCGCCAGTAAATCTTGAAAGTCTCCATACGACCTTTAATGTACCAGCGGAAGCAAGCCAAAGGATGTATGTGTTTGATCATATTGCATTTATGCTGTCATCCACAATGACATTTTTTAAGTTAAAGCCGACATATTTGGACTTACATCCTTTGCTGAAAATTTACTCCAATAATAATATTATTTCATTTAATTAAATGTACTTGGAATATTTTTTTTATAAAATGTCACATCTTTTTAAAGCTATCAAAATGATATCCAAGACCTGTTAAACCTCGCTTACATGGCAATGCTATTACCGACTGCTCGGCTGCACTTTAAGTTAAGTGACAAAATGTGCAAAACCACTTGAAATGATAAAGTTTTCCTATAAAATGAGCATGGAAGCAGGCATTATTGGTCTTGCATTGACGACATCCAGTCCATAAATCGCATACAGACCGGCTACCCTGTCCATAATTCTTATTATGCAGACTGTTTAAACGCGACTTTCACGACATAGGAATTTCACAACACAAACATTATTATTATTATTATTATTATTATTTGCGGCATCGCTTGAAAAAAATCCGATTAGGGTTTGAGATATTTCATACACTGAACAAATAAAATTATTATTGGAAAGCAAATTATAAAAATGACACAAAGGGATGAAAGGAAATATAAAAAAGTAAACATGGCCGTTCGGGCAAAATGCAAGTTTACGGTCTGGTGGGTCAGACCTGGAAGGTATATGGCTCTCAGCACCTTCCTCAGTCTAACCAACCAGTCGTAATCGTTTATATTGCCCTCAAGGCCATGTTTTATTTGTTAAATAATGTTGAAAAAGAGATAGCTTTACCCTTGGGTTTAGCCGTGATCATTACCGACAGGAACCTGGCAATATTGTTCCCAGTATTGTAGCCATTGATGCTTACATCATGTCCTATGTCCCAATGTGTAAAGTTCATTCCGGATTATTCTATAGAACTTTTCGCTTATAACTCAATTTTAAGGTGAAGATACATGACTGGTGTCAATGGACCTCACTTGCCTAAGCTTAAAGGTTGGACTACTATAATTGACTACCCCTGACAACTACTCTTGAGTTCATGCCCATATGTCCTTGTTGTCCGATCCATTTGCTTGTGTTATATATTGGTATTTTATTATCATTACTTATATATATTGTTCTTTATACATATAAGATAAGTTTTAACCAGGACGGAAGTGTTCTATTTAAATTTTTATCTGATATCTATATATCACAGCTTCCGATATTGTAGGTAACCGAGGCATTTCTACATCTAAATTTTTAACAGGGTGGGCAAAGGTTTCTTTATTCATGACGATCATCCATATTGAAGTGTGCGGACATGTTTCACAGAATTCTTATGCTCGCTTTCTTTTCTTACAGCCAATGTTTTTTGGAAGACCAGTTGTCTACACAACAACGGTTTACTGCTCTGGAAGCTAGAGTCAAACAGTTGGAGGCATATACAGCTAGTAAGTATAAATTTCTATCCAAATTAATTTAAAGTGCAAAGTCATATTTTGTTCAAAGTTCTTGAGTTCTTGAAACTAAACGATCACATTTATTTATACGGTAAAGGCTGATTGTCAGGTAATAAGTTAAGTAAATTGCAAAACTCTTTAAGATTTTACAAGACCATTAATTAAATAATTAATTAGTCATTCGTTCGTTCGCTCATTTGCTCGTTCGCTCACTCGCTCACTCATTTACTCACTCATGTTTTCATTCTTCATTCATGAAACACACGAAAGATGGTTCTCATGAGTGAGACAGTCTTGTTTTGTTTTACCGTGATGATAAATTTAATAACATGTACATTGTATTTTTTTGGTATATTGCAAATATCGTGTGGTATAATTTCAGGGTGCCCCTGCGTCGATGCAGTCGGTTTTAATGTACAGCTAATTCACGACATATCTCCAATGGGCCAATACCAACATATCATTTTCGACAACATTTTAGCAAACATAGGGAACGGCTATGACAAATATAGTGGCCACTTCACAGCTCCTTACCATGGACTTTATACCTTTGCTGTCAGTTTCACAAAGATGAGGGACCGTAACCTTAGTGTACAGGTAGTTAAAAATGGAGCCACAATTGCACAAGGACTTACTCTAACAAAAGATGTCTACGATACAGCTACTGTGACAGCTACTGTCGAACTTAATAAAGGAGATAGAGTTTGGGTAGAAAACGGATATCCCGTGGGCGGTGTCGAAGATATACACGGATATTGGACATTTTTCTCGGGTCATTTAGTAATGTCGATGCCAAACTAAACTTCGAGGCTTATTTCCCAACTGTACACAATTCAAACCCAATTATGAATGAATAATATCTTGCTCGATAAGCCTTTTGTAGAAAATCTTATTTATTTTAAAATGGTGTAAATTTTCTGCACGACACACGAATAAAGATTGATCCTGCAGTTAGTATGCTGATTTAATGCTCCCCGAAGATTTATGGTGATTTGTTCTAGATCTCGGTTTATATTTTAGTCCTTCCCATCACCATCCGCTTAAATTTCTTATCAACGCAATATAATCTTCCATTGATCACCCAAATTATCAATGTTGTCGAACATGTATCCCCCACCCGGCACTTGTGAATTTAGCATATGCTAGTCTTAATTTTGAAGTCAAAGTCACAGTGAACTTGACCATTGACCGACTGACACCAAAATAAATTGTGTTCATCTTGAAGCTGTGACCGATATAAAGACGAAATCTTAGGACAGTAGGCCAAAAAATTAAACTACAAAGTAAGTATGGTTTAACAAGCTTTATGTTTTCAAAGTCACCGTGGCCTTTGTCTGTCTGATCCCAAATTCAATAGCATTTACTAAACATGACCAAGCTACAAAGAATATGTCATAGCCCTTTCTAGTGATTGGTAGGTCAAGCGTTTTTTGGTCAAGGTCATCTTTGAAAAATAAATTCAGATTTATCAGGGGTCATTCATTAATCACGATCAAGAGTCAGACAAAATCTCAAGCGTTTTCTAGTTATTGGTTCGAGAGCATTGGCACGTTGACTTGATTTCAAAATAGATAGGGTTCATCAACCAGTCATGTCCAAACTACAAAAAAAGTTTCAGGACTACAGTTTAACAGGTTCTTTATTACTTGATCGGGCAAACTTCAAGTAGGCAAGGCACAAGTAACCAAAATCTCAGGATTGTAGGCTAAAGCGACTTGTACTTATTGATCGGACAAGCTTCTTTTGAAATGACCAACTTGAATTGTGACCGAATTACTTATCACAAAATCATTATGGGTCATCTTCTTATTATTACTAAATTCCACACTAAACTTTAGTATTGTTGAATAAGTGTTCTCTTGTTTTTAGTCGTACAGACTTTTTTTGGTCAAGGTCAATGTGAAATTGAACTTTCAGCCGAAAGTCTTTGACCGACTGACCCTATTCAATAGGGGTCATCTAATGTGACATTGAACTTTGTTCGACTGACCCTATTAAATAGGGGCTATCTAGTAGTCATGACTTACCTCAACTAAACAAAGGAATTAAGTTGATAGAATGACGCTGTGCATATTCTTTTCAAAGTAGGGGCGTTATTACTAACCTGTAGCAGTTCTACTACATGTACATGTATATATTTAATACATTTTATACAAGGCCATGGTCTAAACAAGGTATACATGTATAACTCGCCATACCGACATAGTCAATGTATGATTATTTTACAACATTTTCTTCATTCTTCAATCAAGCCAAAAAGCTATGCTCATTCCACCTGGGGCATTAAATAAGTTTGTTTTGGCCCCAGATTCCATTAATATCTTAAAACATTGGTCCGATAACTAAATTTCCCTTTTCGGTAAATATTATGTCATTTTTGAGATAAAACAAAGAGTTGCAGATGTGCATAATGTTCGAACATTGTTTGACACCGTGGCAAAAAGTTTGACAACACCATGAACACTATCATTTTGATCTGTGGTAAATAAGAAATGTCGGTTCTGACACACGAAAATTCTCGGTAAAAGTAAATATTATCTTTCACTCGAAGGTGTCGTATTTACTAAAAGATTTATAGAATACAGTGCCGAAATAATGATAACAAAATACAGATTCAATATAGAATGGTAGACCATGTTTTTGCTAACATAAAGGGAGACTACTCATCCATCTGAATGCTGAATGATAATACTCGCATGTTTGTCTCCCTTTTTCTTATACAAGCTAAAATCTTTCTCAATTTATCGTTGTAACTTATAAGAAAAGTTTCAAATTTTATTTGTAAATAATTAATCATTTTCAACTCTACGTACTGGTTTTTTTCAATAAAGATATAGATTCTGTATTGATCTTTAACACGCAAGCAGCCTCCTTTCACGAGACGTTTCGCGCGGGATTTGTACACAAGAAGGCCTCGCTGCCTGTAATCTGTTCTTCGTATGTACACTAGAAATCCAAATAGTGTCGCCTTATTGTAGGGCTATAATATCAAAACTATAATACATTGTAGTTGTATATGTAAATAACAGAAACTCTACATTTCGCTGGCAAACTTGGTTCAGCTGTCCGGTGCACGTGTCAATGGCACGATTCTTTTGTCTGCTTGTTAGATATCGGAACAAACGGTCGACGGAGGATCATGCTCAGTCTGAAAACAAGAATACATAGTGGGGAAATTGAAGTTTTTTTTATAAACACGGTATGTATTGTCATCGAGTGGTATGAAATATTTCTTGAGTGGCAGTAGTTAATATAAGAGAAGGTAATACAGTTCTTGCATTGGACTCTTGTGCAATATGCTAAATTTTGTTGCAAAAGATACGAGGGTTGTCCAAAAAATTCGTGCACTGCAGTTATTGTCGTGAGAGTTATTAATAAAAACGAATGAATTATATATCGCTTGTTTTTTTAAAATATTATTTGTTACTCTTACTTTTTTTATCTATAATTAAACTTCAAACTTCAAATATAATTATGTTCCTTATCATCAACCACATGATGTGTGACAAGATTCATAACTCTAGCGCACATTTTCTTTTCAGAATTATCAAGCATTGAATTTCTGTTAAAAATGCTATTTTTTAAACTTCTTTATTTTTCAAAGGATTTTCTTTAAGTTGCATATCAGCTCCCAAATGATAATTATATGACATGGTTCTAAAATCAATATTTTCCGAGATTTCGAAACATGTTTGGTCATATATGATAAGATTTATAACGCTACCTTCTGTTTTTCCATATTTAAACTAATTGAATTATATCAATATTGATCGTGGAGCAAAAAAAGACTGGACGGAAGTAATCTGTTAAACATTTTTTTAAACTGTTATCTTTTACATTGTTCGATACTGTAGTAACCGAGGCATGTGTAATAATTTAACAGAGCGGATGTACCAAAACTGAGATCACCCGGTTTAAAGTGTGCAGACATGTTTCGCAGAATTCTTATGCTCGTTTTCTTTTCTTACAGTCAATGTTTTTTTGGAAAACCAGTTGTCCATTGACAAACGGTTTACTGCTCTTGAAGCTCGAGTCAAACAGTTGGAGGCATATACTGCTAGTAAGTAATTATGTTTATCAATTATTAGAAGATAAAGCAATAATTACATGTTCATCTTTAAAAGTTGATTTATTGATTGATTCTCACTCACTCACTCACATGAAGAATATTAAAGATGATCCTCATGATATGTCTTTTACCATGATGATAATAAATTAAACATGTGTAGTGCACTTTTATCATCATCATCATCATCATCATCATATTCATCATCACCATCTTTTTAACTTCATCATAATGAGCACCATCACCATACATAATAAATGTCTTCATCATCATCATCATCACGACAACAGCAACAGCAACAACAAGAACAACAAGAACAACAACAGCAACAACAACAATATAGGACCCACGGAAAAATGGATGTGTTTGTACGTATCAACTTTTCAGGACCTAACACATATAATGAAATTTAAAAATAATGAATAAATGAAAAGTTGTGAGCTTACAAAAATAAAAATAAGTATAAAACGTGCCAAAATTAGAAACGTGACAACATGTATATACAAAAGTTGATCATTGCACATTTTTTACCAAATATCGTTTGGTATAATTTCAGGGTGTCCTTGCGTCGATGCAGTCGGATTTAATGTACAGCTGACTCATGATATATCTCCATTCGCCCCAAGTCAACATATTATTTTCGACAACATTTTAGCAAACATAGGGAACGGCTATGACAAATATAGTGGCCACTTCACCGCTCCTTACCATGGACTCTATACCTTTGTTGTCAGTTTCACAAAAATGAGAGACCGTAACCTAAGCGTACAGATAGTTAAAAATGGAGTCACGATCACACAAGGAGTCACTAGCACAGACGATGAATTCGATACAGCTACAGTGGCAGCTACTGTCGAGCTTATTAAAGGAGATAAAGTATGGGCAGAGAACGCATATCCGGTCGACAATGTCGAACAGGTTGACGGAATGTGGACATTTTTCTCGGGTCATTTAGTAATGTCGATGCCAAACTAAACACGATGTATAACTTGTGGCTTATTTCCGAACTGACGCAATTAAAATCTAAATATTAATGAAAAAATGTTTTGTTCGATTTGACTATTGTAGGGAATAATACATATTTTAAAATGGTGTAAATTTTCTGCACAGAACACGAAAAAAGTTTGACACTGCATTTTGTACGCTGTTTTAATGCTCCCCGAAGATTTACGATGATTTGTTGCAGTTCTCGGTTTGTATTATAGTCCTTCCCATCGGCATTTGGCATTAATGCCTCATCAACAATGATAAAAGTTTCGCAAATTAATCTTGCACTTGATCACACAAATTTTAAATAATTGTGAAGCATGTATTGCCACCCCCACAAGAAAAAGAAATTTATAATAATACAATGTATAAATATACTTAAGTAAATACTAAGTATTTCAACTTTCAAATTAAGACAACAATTAAACAGGTTAGATAGTAGCAGTAACATTCGTATCATGACTACTTACCTTAACATCTACTCTTCGTTACCAAAATAAAATGGCCAAAGCGCTCTCTATGTAGCTTTTTCCTCCAATGCCATGGATACATTCATTTTTGACAGACTGAGAAGGATTATCTACAATTCATGGCATGGCTCCACACCAAATCTTAGGACTGTAGACCAGTGCGTTCTTTAGTTATTGGTGAAGTGAAGGTCACAGACATTGATCTTCACATTTGACAGACTGACACCAAAAGGAGTTGCAGTCATCTCCTAGTTTCGAACACTAGTCAGACCAAATCTTAGGATTGTAGGCCAAAATATTATATCAAAGCGTTAGTTATGGTCTGATAAGCATATTTTTTTTATCAAATTCACCGTGTCCGTTGTCTTTCTGACCCCAAAATCAAAAGCATTTAGTAGACATGACCAGTCTACAGAGAATATACCATGGCCTTTTCTAGTTATTGGTTGGACAAGCGTTAAGTGGTCAAGGGCATTTATGAAAAAAAACCTTAACTTATTAGGGGTCATCTGTTGTCATATTAAATCTAGAGCGTTCTCTATTTATTGGTCCGATACAATATTTTGATTGTCAAAGTCCGAAATAGACAGGGTACATCAACTAGTCATGTCCAACCTACAAAACAAATCTTAAGATTGAGTCTATTCATTGGTGTGACAAGCTTTTTGTTGTCTAGGCAACACCCTGATTTAGATTTTTAACAAGATGACCTTGACTTTTATTAAAATGAATTTATAAGCCTTCTCTATTTCTTGGTACCGTAAACCTTTGACCGTCCATTCCAAAAATCTAGGGGGGTCATCTACATGAAGTGACCAACTTCCTTTGTTTGAGAAATGTTGTTAAAAAAGTGACCACTTTTTCGGCGCGGCCCCCAACCAAAAGATACATCAGGAGGTTGCCAGAAGGGGGATGTGCCCTCTTCTGTTGGGGGGGGGGGGGTTGAAGGGGGGCTGTAGTCCCCCTCATCGCCAAGAACATTTTGGACTTGTTAGAGGCTAAAAATGACCCCAGAACGATCATAAGGAAACGTGTAACCAACACTAAAAAGCATTTGATTCTATCTCAATCCATTGAGAGGTTGCAGCACTTTGAAATCAATTTTGATGGAATAAAATCAATATAAAATAGTGATTTTTGGCAATTTTGAGATGTCCCCTCGTTGCCATGGTAACAGAAAATTTACGCCTTTGTTGCAAAGGCACTGGTCCAGTCAACATTTGTGCCAAGTTTGATTAGTATTGAAGCAGTTTTTATAGTTTTATAGCAATTTGAACTTGTAATGGGAGACTTTTCAATGAAGACAGCCAGTAATGGGTTAATGACAAAAAATCAAAAAATCTTCAAAACAACATTTTTTTCTTCAAATTTATATGATAGGCCATGCTTAAATATGGAAAAACGCAATTTTGGGTAATTTCAAGTATTTTCATCATTTTCTGTTAAGATTGTAGAACAAGTGTTCTCTTTTTTCAGTCGTACAACATTTTTGTGGTCAAGGTCGATGTGACATTGAGCTTTCAACCGAAAGTTTTTGACCGACTAACCCTATTCAATAAGGGTCATCTTATGTGACAAGCCAAAAAGCTATGTTCATTCCACCTGGGGCATTAAATAAATATGTTTTGGTATCAGATTCCATCAATATCTTTAACATTGGTCCGATAACTAAATTTCCCTTTTCGATAAATATTTTTTTTTTAGATACAACAAATGGTTGCAGATGTGCATCATGTTCGAACATTGTTTGACAACGTGGTAAAAAGTTTGACAACTCTATCATTTTGATCGGTGATGAATAAGAAATCTCGGTCCTGACACACGAAAATTCTCGTTAAAAGTAAATATCGTCTTTCACATGAAGGTGGCGTATTTACTAATGATAAAATTGGAAGATAAATAGAATACAATTGCCGAATATATTGATAACAAAATACAGATTCGCTGACATAAAGGGAGGCTACTCGCCTCTCTGAATCATAATACTCCCAAGTTTGTCTCCCTTTTTCTTATATACGAGTTAAAATTATACCTCAGTATATCGTTTTCTTAACTTATAAGATAAGAAAAGCTTCAAATTTGATTTGTAAAGAATTTGATCATTGTCAACTCTACATAATGTTTTTTCCCGTAAATATATATTTAATTTTAACAGGCAAGCAGCCTTTTCTTTTCACGAAACGTTTCTCCCATGATTTGTACACAAATCCAAAAAACGGTTGGGCTATAATATCAAAACGTTGTGATATGTAAGTAAATAAGATAACGGAAACACAGAAACACTTCGCTGGCCGACTTGGTTCAGCTGTCCGGTGCACGTTTCAATGGCACGATTCTTTTGAAATGACAAGCCAGAAAAGAAGAATGCATTGAGGGGATATCTATACATTCATCAAGTGGTATGAAAATAAATAACAACTAAATCAATAACTATTTTCTTTTATAAAAGAAATTATGACACTTGGCATTTATAAAGAAATATCTAACCTATTTTAACAATAAAACCTTTATGATTTTTGATGAGATTCTAAGCTTCCACACCATAATATTAAATTTAATTTATACTGAAAGTGGATAAAGATTATTTAAAGGCACAACTCTCAGAAACGAATATATGTCCTTCTTAGAAAGGGAAAACATGAGGTGTATCTGTAATAATAACGATAAATGATAATTTAAGAGCATGTTAGATGCTTACCGCATGGAGAAAATTTTACTGAATGTTAAATTATTTGTCATAAGAGTAGCAAAATTTAAACAAAGCAGTATTCTGACCTCAATATAAATACTAAATCACTACATCTGTACTATTACCACATGGACACAGAAACAAATGGTTCAGATAAATAACCAATGCTAACGTTTTGGAAACTTCAATTATCGGAGGACATCAAATATAAAAAAAATCTTCAAGAAATAAAAAAGCAAAACACCAACAACAACAAACAAAAGCATTTTAATGTTTTTAAACACAGGCGAACCTGTTTTACAGGCCAATCGTAACAAACGTATATTATAAATAAACATTATAATATTTAACACAGTCGACCCTGTTTTACAGACAATCATAAGAAAACGTATGTTATAAAGAAACATTCTAATACTACACACAGTCGGACCTGTTTTACTTGTCAGTCATAAACATGGTACACAAATACAATACAGCAGCTGCAGAGAGGAACTCTGTTAAGCAATACTCATTTTGCTAGGGGTTTCACGATTATCCGTTGAAACGTGTACGACGGTTTTAGCTGAAAACCGGTTAGAAAATTCAATAATAAGTATTTGACTTAGGGGTTTGATGCTAACCGCTCGCCGGGTAGATTAAAACCTGTGAGGGAAAGACGTTGTTCCATTGAGCTAAAACCTTTACATTGCTCATAACTGGTTGGTTCAAAGTCACTGCAGTTATGTACAAGCAGCTTCCCACGTTATATGACATATTGCATGTAGACCAGTATTATTCCTTCACACTCCGTTTAAATGTAGTCATATAACCAATGATATACTAAGTTATTATGCAAAGCAAATACATTTAAAGTAAATACATTCACATGACCTATGTATAAGCATGTATGTACTTCAACCGTTTCACAACATAGACGGCATTTTTGTATCAAATCAGAAGCTAGACTGTCGTACTTCAAACTTCAGCTACATTAATGTCGAAGACACTAACTCTAGTAATCGATCACTCAAAGTTAACTTTTAAGTAATAAACAAAAATCCATAAAACTTTTCAACGGAATTTTCTGGCCCATTACCAATTTGGCCCGATCAGCTCGCACTGGTTTCGGATGACAATGCACCGGGTGGTATCGCAAAACTGTAACATTGTCAGTATTGAGATTTACAAATTGTTTCAGCTTTTTCACGGAAACTTTAACAGTGATAATCTCCAATTTCATTTTCCTTTCTCCACAATCTTTGTATACAAGTATTCCCTCAACACCTTTAACTCTCACAGCGTCTCCAATTTCTATGTCGCTACTGAGGTGTGCTTCCATCTCACCCACAAACAAGGTACTCGTAAGTTTCGATTGACCTTGATCTTCTAGAGAAGCAGACGATCCACGCGACGTGTCGTCTTTGGCATCTGCAGTAAAGTGTTGCTTTACTTTCGCCCAGTAGCAAAGGTGATCGGAACGGTTTTTAGTCCCATGCCATTTCCTTTCACCTATTCTCTGCTTTGCCCTTAGGACAGCAATTTCAGGAGAGAACAAATTCAAATGATCACAGTCATGACGGTGCAAGATAGGAACATGTTTTGAAACCGATCTTAATGTAAAGTATTCCTCCTTAACTTCTCTGGTGGTAAACAGTGAGTCCAAAGCATAGTGAACAACTCGAATCTTGCCTTTCTTATCACTGCTATTTGTGTGAACTTCCGTAACAATGACGTCATGGGGTAGACCCCAGTACTGTATAGTGACAATATCTCCGATGTTTATGTCATCAAGCCGATATATTGCCGTCTTGGTGCACCCGTATGGGGCCATCAGAGCTTTTCTTATATTTGGGATGTAATGTTGACCAACCACCGACAAAGCTATCAGCGTGAAGGCACCTACCACTGCAGGAATTGATACGCTGCCATTCAGTATGAAAAACGTGGCTACAGAGGTGATTCCATACACATAACATCTAGCCCAAAGATCCATTATACTGTTTCGAAAACACGAAGCACATATTTCACTTCTTGCGTACTTATACTTAAAGTATAGAGTCATTATAATGCAATATAATACATACATGGCGGCAGTGCCGCTTAATACTGTTGTTGCGCTCGGCATGCTAATGCTGTCTCCGACTATTTTCGTTATTTCATCTGAAGAATC